GCGTAGCTTTTCTATTTGTATGAAAATACCGCCTATATCTGAATGTGGTATGTTATTTAATATTATATCTATGTCCAATGTACCTATATTTCATATATATAGGTACATTTTTTATTACCTAACCTGTGCATACATCACATAAGAGACCCAATTACAACATTTTTTATTATTGTTCCTCTTTTATTTGTCATAGTGTGATGTTATATACCTTCCTCGATAATAGGACTATCCAACATATTTATTCAATTTATTGATTCAATTCGAGAACTCGAGTTCTCATGATTAGGGCGTCAAAGAAACAAACTCTTCAAAATTATAATATTAATATAATATTATTTAAATTGAATATATTTTTGAACAGTAAAACGACTCGATTATGTGTAATCGATCGATTATTGTGCACATTTTCCTTAATGATGTTGTGTAAAGTATTACATAAAATATGTGTGCACGCGGCTTTGCCTGCATAAAAATTATAGCCTATGTGTGTGTAAATTTATAGCCTAACAAACATATATCCATCCATACTTACAAACTTTCGCGTTTATAATATTAGTCAGATAGAGATAGGTCGAGCATAAGTTGTATGAAAATTCGTCTACTACGTATTTTAATGTAAAACTTTATATTATTACTAACAATTACTTGTGTAACTATATGCTTATTTTAAGATAAGTAAGCCTACATCTGTTTTCGTCGTCGTCGACGTGAAATTTCATTAATAACTCATGTTAGCAAATAAGTATGGGTATTATGCTTACATATTTCCCTTAATTATTTTTTCTCGTGTTATCGTTTGTGTTAATTTATAAATGTAGGTCGAGCGTGGCTTTTCGGCTTGCATGAAAATACCCGCCACTATCTAATAGTAATATTAATTATTCCAAAAATAGCGAACCAACCATGTTTAATTGTGATTTATTTTTAATTTATAATTATATATTTTGACAGTTTTATGTCAGTTTTTAAATCAACTGCTAAACTGTACTGTTTCTATTGTGGGCAAATTAAATATTTAATTTTTGGAAATACAAGATGATGAAGCTTACTATTAGCTTATCACGGACTTATGGCTATTCTCGTGATATAATCTGTTTAGTGATGCAGACAAACAGAAATAGAAATAGAAATAGAAAGATTTAAGCGTAAAATCTATTTAAATTGACTTCATTGATTTTCATTTTAATTTTTATCAAACCATACATATTTTTTATTGATCTTCCTGTTTATTGCATATATTATTATCTTACTTTTATATGTTTGAAAAAACTTATAGACTAATATTATGTTATATGTGGTATTGATAAACATTACGTTGGTGTAATCTTAGATATATTTATATTTGTATCGATTTTGTCAAACTTAAAAATTAAAAAAAACATTAATTACGTTTCATTTGGTTCTAAACAAATGTAACAAACTGTATCCTGATGACGCGGCCTACTTTGCTATTAATAACACTAGTGACAAATAAGTGAATAATGTGACAGAAAACCGTAATTACCGGTTTGATATCTCAAGTGGCAAGATTACAAGCGTTACGGCTGTTATTACTTGGTTTAATAAACCAGATATAGTCTGGTGCCGATAAATGGCTATACATAACACCATGTGATTAAAAGCTATTAGATAGGTCATAACATTTATTCATTACGTAGATGTAATATGACTTTGCCTATGGTGATTATATTCTGCTCCTTCGTGATGGTTGTTAGTTCGATTCTTTGCACGGTGCAAATATTTATATTCATAAGTATGATTGTTTGCATCGGTCTCGGTGTTTTCTATATATGTTATATACCTATTTACAAAATTTAATTAAGTATTTATATCAGTTGTCTAGTATCCGTAACATAAGCTCTGCTTAGCATGGGACAAGATGGCGATATGAGGATCCTAGGATTTTTTTTAATAACAAAGGAATGGCAAATAATCTTACGGATAGAGCTTTACTTATATAATGGGATCACGAAGCAGCTTGTTTCAGCGCCTATTGATGTAACATCCCTGTTTCAACAATTAAAAAGCTGTTTATATTCATCTAGATGACTTTATACTATTGTAGATATATTATTATACTGCACTGGTCAAGCGATTTAGCACACCGCTTATTTGCAATGGTCACGGATTTGATACCTCGCATGCCACAAACAATTGTATTTATGAGTATGATTGTCTAAATTGGATTGGGCGTTTTGTATATGTATTATGTATGTACTTATAGAAAAAATGTATCTAAGTGTATCAGTTGTCTAGTATCCATAACACAAGCTCTACTTCGCTTAATACTAGATGACGCAGTGTGAATTTTCCAGGGATTTCATTGTTATAGATATGTAATGTAAGTGCAAAACCTTAGCACAGAGTAGGAACATTTAGGGAATGGTAAACGGGTGGTTATTACCACGTAACACGTGTAAGGGCTCCGCTAACGGCGGTAGCGTAGGGCTATAAGTTAGCCTGTACCGCGTGCCGTCGGTGTCTCGACTAGTCTCGACCTACCCCCGACGGCGAAGTGATAACACCGTGTAAATATCATTTACTTAAGATTTAATCTTACTAATACAATATTGTTAACTATAAAGATTTATTTTATAAATGGCGACTTAAATAATGATCATGGAAGATAACTATTTAGGATGGAGAAGGACGTAGGCCACTTTTTTTGGACTTAAATGGTTGTAAAGACGAATTCACATGAAGCTAATATTTAATCTTTTCTTTCTTTAGATATAATAAAATCGTAAAGTTATGACTTTAAATAGTCTGTATATCTGTTTGGCTGTGTTAATATTTAATTTAAAAGACACAATAGGAATATATTTTCTTTAATATGTCTCAACATATCCCAAAGGAAGCTCAGAAAAATAATCCCTAAAGAAGGAAATACCTAATATATGTAGTAAATAATGTTGTAATGTTGTCGATATTAACTACAATTATAATATGTAATTAATAAAATAAAGAATGGTATTGTACAGATGTTTTATTTAATTATTGCTATCTATTTACTTTTTTTCTTTTGTTCATAAATAATTAATACCGAGTTACAAATGTATATAAGTACAAAGTCGCTACTACTCCACAGACATCACTAATGTCTGCGAAGTGTATTAGATTGTTCTTTTACACTACAATATATATATAAAAAAGCTGTTAATCGCGGCTTCACCTACTTTTGTTTTGAGATAAAAGATGGCCCATGTTCTTTTCCGGAATACAATCTATTTTCACGCCAAATTTCATTACAATCTGTTCAGTTGTTTAGTCGTGAAAAGATGACAAACTGACAGACATTTTATCATTTATAAACTAGCTGTGTCCGCGGTTGTATCCGAAAATTAGAGGTTATGTGTTATTCTGATGTTTAAACTATATTACTTTGAAGTTTCATCCAAATCCATTCCGTAGTTTTTGTATGAAAGAGTAACAAACATCCATCCATACTCACAAAATGACGCGTCTATAGTATTAATAAGAAGTGTGGATATAAATAGATATACCTTATACCAAATGTAGTTATAACCATTGTCAATTATCGATGTCGTAATAACCACAACACTTGATATGCCCTCTTATAGCTCTTATACATTTGAATAGAACGTGGCAAGAAGCCAGTATACAATTTGAAGTATTTTAGATTGTCATCGGATCGGTGTTTTCATCATCGTCAGTCAGAAAGATAAATTGACACACAAAGTTTTTAATTTCGGTCAAATTCGGTAGAAGTCAAAGTAGTAAACATCAAAGATACTACGCCTTGGATCCACGTAATAAATGATAGTGTAATATATTTTTAATTAGGTAACTTATTGGTAGGAATCTATGGGATAAATTATCTTACATACATTCACCCGTTGTATTTGAAATATACAGTCTCCTGTTGGTCCATTTTACATTAACAAACAATTAAAATACCTCTTTTAGTAGTTATAAATATTTAGTAGTTAAGAAGATAGATTTAAATTAAAGATCTCTTAAAAAGGGAAATCTAAAACTAGTTAAATAATTTTATTTCTCTTCATAAAATCCGTGTATTGCGAGTTTAATTGTAACTATCTAGGTTATATCATATAAGTATAAAATATCGGTAGATACTATCACAATTCATACTAATAAATTATTTAAAATATATTATTTTAATTTTATTCTGCAATGTTTTACCGACATATGTACCTGTTATAGCTATATCTATTCATAATATAGGTATATATCCCAAAAAATAAATATTATAATAATATGCTTCTGTCTATTAACTCTAAATATATAATTTATTGTATTATATTTCAGTATAAAGTAGATACAATAAATATAAATATAAACATAATTAATTATAAAAACAAGCCCTCATTTTGTACAAATAAGTTTAAAATACAAATTAATTAAAATTCTACCGTTTGAAATTTAGGTGACGCGTTGATGTCTTTTATATGAATTTGATTTGATAACTCATAATGAGTACAAATAATGTAGTATGTGAATATAATGTCGTAAATTTTTACTTTATTATAATATTCACTAGTACTTATGTATTTATATATCTATGTTATTCCCATATATACCTATAGGTCAGTATACCCACTAGGTATCCATTAAAATGTATCTAGATTAAATTAATAATACATACGAATAACATCAGTAACTGATAAATTTTATTACTAAATAATTATTTTCTAGTATATTGATATTATGCACATAAATTCATTATAGGTAGGTATCAGCACCTACTCTTAGGTGTATATCTAACCCTGAACCTACCCATCTATATCTGATTAGAAAAAATATTTCTATATATAGGTACCTATTAGAAGTTATTTTATTACCCACTTATCTTCCAATGTACCTAAATAATTTTAATAAGGGCTTACATAGACTATAGAACAAATACTAAGTAGATAATAAATTCACGCTATATCAAACTATTAACTAAAATCTTATTTTCTATATTCGTCTATAGCTAATAGAATACAATTAAGTATATAATAAAAGATAATACATACATATATAATACTTACTTGACTGCAATCTGTCTCTCCATGCCATTGGATTCGATACTAATCCTTGAAAGCCTGGCCAGTATAATGGTTTGTGCTGCAAGTAATGAGCCATGCCTGCTGCGGCCGCTGCCAAAGATAACCTCGGTGTCAGAAGACCGGCGCCAACGTTGGCCCCAACTGTCGGTCTCGATAAGATATGGTCGATCCCGTGAGGGTTAGGGGCCGGAGGAGGTGCCTCCGCTAACGAGCTCAAAGCAGCCAACGGAGCCCCAAAACCGTTCTCCAAAACACCCCGCGAAAGAGGCGGCGATCCACGCAGTTCTGACATGTTTCAAAGTTCACACACTCGAAATTCAAATTTAAAACATAATCCAATTCCAATTTCAAAACATATTCTAATTTCGAACACGAAACGTTCTCACATAGACATTGTCCGTTATCGAAAATCGAGTTCGAAACGAGTCACCGCGCGCGCGACCCGACACCGAATGAAAAGCTCCCGAGCTGCCAAGCTTTTGCTCGGCGCAAACAAAAAAAAACACAGTATTGAGAACGCCCAGTCAATCTAAACCTTATATCGGTGACGCCGCCCCTTCACGGACCGCGCATCGGAAATACGCCCGTCTCTTTCTATATTTAAGTGATCGGATAGAGAGAGGAGAGCTGTGGTGTTAACAAGAGAGCGTAGATTTAACGAATCGTTATTTAATGGCGCTTCTTGTCTCTTTATAATTAAGTCGGGTGCAGTTTTTGCGGTGCGCCCCCCCTGCCCCGCGCAGCTGGCATTACCCCTCCGTCGCCGCTCAGTTAAAAACTATTGTGCGTGGAATAATATGGGACAGTTTATTTTATGATGGGAATCGACAATAGCCCGGAAGGATCTGCGTCATTTGTCGCCGATAATTTATGTGACAAATATTTTATTAATTGACAATGTTGTGTGAATGGCACTCGATTTGCGAGGAAATAAAACACCCATAGTATTAACTCGGCAACATCTGCTCTTAGGGGTTTCTTAATAATTGTTAAATGCATCATTTTATAGTCAATTTGTTCAATTGCTATTAGGTAATCGATTTAAATACATGTTTTAAATATTTATTGAATAATTTGTCTTCAACGTAAATAGAGATCCAATATTCATAACATTATCTCATAAGTTTATTGTATATTAATACTTGTATATCTATTATTCCCTTATTGCAATTAAGATATCTAAGTTTGCAATATATTGTGCAGTACATATGTATAATATGGGTAATTGGGTATTATAATAAATTTTATAATCCGAAAATAGATATTAATAACTTTATTTAAAAAGTTAAGCAAGCATTTTTATATGAAAGAAATTGACAGAACACAATGTTAATTTTACATAATAAAAAAATCTACATATCTGAATTTTACAATATCAATACACAGCTATCCTCTACTTAAATTACTCTGATTGACTTTTATTTTATTTTACAATCTACATATATACGATTTAAAAGATGCAACACAATAAAAACTAGACAGCCGCGGTGGTCTAGTGGTTTAGAACACCACTTTACTATCCGATGGTCGTGGGTTCGATTCCTCGCACGGTACAAATATTTGTATTCATGAGTATGATTGTTGGTATCGGTATGGGTGTTTTCTATGTATAATATGTATTTATTTACAAAAAAAAAATGTATCCATGTATTTATATCAGTTGTCTAGTACTCATAACACAGCTACCCATAGCATAGCTTGGGTCTAGATGGCGCTGTATGAATTGTCCTGAGATATTATTATTATTATATTATTATAATAAATGTTTCGAGTATAAATTGGTTTTGGCGAATCTTCTGCTTGTTTGCCTTTATAGAAATAATAATCTCAAGACAACTTCAGACTTCACACAGCGCCATCTAGACCTAATTTAAGCTAGCTAAAGGTTGAGTTACGGATACTAGACAACAGATACAAATACACAGATTTTTTTTATAAATACACACATATTACGCCTAGAAAACACCCGATACAAATAATCATACTCATGAATCCAAATGTTTGTAACGTGCGAGGAATCGAACCCGGGACCATCAGAGGGAAGGCAGTATGCTAAACCACTAAACTACAGAGGCCGTCTAATATACTTATTTACAAAAGATCACCCAATAATAACTATGTATTGTACAGAAATATTTTTTTCAAACATCTGAGATTTATGCTACGTATTAGTTAATATACAAACTATGCAACATTTTTTTCTATATTGAAGAATCGGACCCTAAACCATGTATAGAATACACGTGTATCCTCTTAGTTCCTATCTGACCATCATAAAAATTGTACAGTCCAATTAAAATTAACAACCTCGTCCGGTTTTATTCAATAACTAAAATCCTATACAAAACACCACAACATTTTTTAACTCCATTTTAATTCCCAATCCCTACCATGGGGTATTATATAGACTTAAAATCCATTAAAAATGGGGGTATTCAAATTATATAAATACGTATAATATAAACGGGTTTTACAATAAATGTTTGTCATATTTTTTTAAAAACAGACTTTTAAGATATCCATTTACAGATACAGATGTTTAAGTTATTTATTTGTACCAACGGATTTACACGTTTTTTTTAATATGGAATATTAATTTAAAAATTAATAATATTCTTCATTTATGCAGTTTATACATTTTTTTATACATATAGGGAATAACGAATAAGTTGATGACGGTACTACCTTCTAATAGTACCTAGGTAAGTAATTACTGTTACCTATATAGCTAAGTAGTATATGACATCACATTATCACGTAATGCCCGTGATAAGACGAAGAAGCCTTGCCATTCTGAAACACCAAGATTTCATGCCTCTTACACTTAACCTGTAATTTTATTGTCTTTACCGGTACCCCTCAACTGAAATACAGCTTATAAAGTAAAATACTTTGCGGTTGAAGTGGCACCTTTTAAACGACTTTTTACTAATTCTACCCCAATATTTCTTTCTTTGAAGAATCACTTAATAATATAGCTGTATCTCCCTATATGGATGATGCATGGTGCAGTAACAATAAAAAAATAATTTGTAAATGTGCTATAAAATATTAAGCATTTTTTATAGCACATTTACAAATTATTTTTAATTTTATGGAAATATGGTTGTATTAACTATGAACAAATAAATATAGCCACGATATGAAGTAAGTATATTGTTACTAACAAATATAAAAATTCAAAATTAAATATGAATTTTAAAACACCTCTAATTGACTGACTTGCTTCTAAGCGAAGCCACACAGCATCACTAGTCAATTACACAACGAATTCATTTTTATTGGCTGCTACAAATACGACTCGAATCTTTGTTCACTCTAACCGGATGTAACATAATACCCATTCAGTGTGTACCCAGGACGAATGCAGGGCATGGACTCACTGATAGCGATTTATACCACTCATGTCTGGAGCAAGTGAGGGTTAGTAAAATATAACTTATATATACGTATCATTAGTAAAAATCACGGGATGTTACCATGTTTTATTCTTATTGAGTTCCCGATATTTCAGCAGTGTTTCAACAGCCATGATCACGGGTAAACAGTTTACTAATTATACGTACAAATAATGACCACGGCAAATTTGAAACTGTGTAACTTATACATTTGACGTGATAAAAAGACCACACATATTACATTTGTATAAATATAATGCACAAAATGTTATATACCTAATTGTGTGTATTGAGAATAATAAGTATGCATATGTTGGCAGCACTTGAACATAGCATTACTTAAATGGATATTGCTGTAAATGTGACATTATTTCGATATAGATTTGTTAGTCAATTGCACGTTTAATGAATATGTATTAAAAGACGTGTGTCTTTTAATACATATTAATATACTTATAACTAATTACATACCCTTTATGTGTATAAAGGGTATGTAATTAGTTGTAAGTATATTAATACATTTTATTAAGGATAACAAAACATTTGGTAAGTACTGTATTATTGAAATTAGTCAACATACAATCAGATAAACTTTAATTTGAAGTAAACTGTATCTATCTATGCAGATGACGTTGGAATTTTAATCTAGGTTTATGGGATATATAGCAAGGAAATTACTTTCAATTGTAATTCATAACAAGATCATCATAGTCATTTACATTATTATATATATATAACGTTACTTTACTTTTTTTTGTTAAGCTTCATTAGAAGCCAAAAAAATATGTTTCTTATTTTAATTAAACAAAATCTTATAAATGTTTAATTCATTCTCAAAATTGGAATAAAAATGTGTCAACGATATTATAAAACTCGCCCCGCATGTGTACCCGCTCACACTCACACAGTACCCGCTGTTTCCCCAAAACGCCGGCTGTCTTTTTATTCATCCCGTCATCAATTAGTCCAACACCTTTGCTTTGTCTGGTTTTTATTATCGGCTTATTACTGCGTTTATAATATGACTCTTGATTCCATAAACATGTAACACGATATTCAACTTTACGACATAGTCATGAGGGTTTATTTTATTGGACTATGCATATTAAAGTAAAATGTGTGCTGAATAGATTTTAGAGATTTTTCTCAATTAAAAGTAGGTCTCTAAAACTCACTATACATATTTAATTGGTAATTTTGTACTTCTTGTACAATAATTGTGACTATATGTATTTATTTAGATATAATCTTGATATTTATGTTGTTACTTTATGGTACTAATAAAGCGTTATATGTACTTACGTTTAGGTATAGGTTAAATATATGAACTGATTTTATTACTAAGCAATTTATTTTTACATTATCTTTTTAAGAAAATATTTCAGAAGTAAAGTAGGTCAGGGATACTACATAATATGTATAATATTTTATATCGTTTATACCTATTTTACATGTCTTATAAATCCTGCAAGGATTCCCGTATAATAAAAATCATGATTATTAAAATTGCTTTTTAGCTATTTATTTATGCATTTAATTAAAAAATATACAAAAATATTTAATTACATACTTCAACAATATATTCACCTAGATGTTTTGTAAAAGGCAAATAGTCACTAAAACATTATATCAATTCTTTTAACTCTAGAACAATTTGCGGCTCCAGAACCAACATATTCACAGCCCTGTAAAGTTTAAATGCAATAAAAAATCAACCTCCAGATTATGAAGAATCGACTACGGTAATCTACGAACTAGATAGAGACAGCTATAACACGAAGTGAGACGGCAATACAACGCTAGAGTACAATTGGAGAATTCTATAGCTAAGCCCCGCCCCTCCCCGCGAAGCGACCCACGTGTTTTTGTTGCGTTCAGATGATTTTCAGACGCAGATGAGAGCGGTCGTACCGATATGCGTATGAAACTTTCAGAAGTTTACGTTTTCAGTCGACTATTATAACATTGGATCTAGTAAGAGCTCTGATTAACGCGCTGTCGAAAATGTTGGGTTTAATAGTATGAAACTTTG